TAAGTGTGGAATCTTTGCAACCTAAACATCTGGCATTAAGCCCTATCTCCCAACATTGTTGCACTTGGGATTAAGTTTCCCACCCGTGCACTTTGGGGGATACATTCAAACCATAGCACCATTCTCAGTTTTGAAAACCGCACAAATGTGGACCTGTACCACCATTTATTATCCATGTGACCTGGGCAAGGTATATAATCTACTTGAGCCTCCGCTACCTCTTCTGAAAAGGAGAATGACACTACCCACTTGAAGGGTTCATTAGAATTCAAATGTGTCACAAATACTCTTGCCTAGCCTGAGACCCATGTCCCACAGGTATAAATATTAGCGGGTTTTCCCAAGAACGCTCACAGGAACAAACAATGTATGCTAGGCTCTGGCTCTTCCACCTAAACTTGGCTTGCTCCTTATTCAATAGCCAACTCTTTCCAAATGGATTTGGTTCTCATTTTTAATATTTCATGACATTAAGATCCCCTCAAGTGGAACCTGGCCACAGATGGATAGATGGGCAGAGCTATTCCAAGGCCACAGACTCAATAAGCCATTTTGTGCATTACTATGGTGCTGGGTTAATCACGGGTGCTGTGGTGATATGAGAAGAAATACATTGGAAAGCATGCGTAGAGACCCCAGTTTTTGGGAGGCTCAAAAAAAGGTACGGTCCCTCTGCCTGCAACTGAAACCCAGGGTCAAAATTGGGTGTGGTGAATGAGGACGAGGGGCCATAAGCATTTTCTAAGGTCCAAGCTTCATTTCTAGGAAGCTCCCAATGATGCTGATGGTTCTGGCTCAGGTGCCACATTTTGAGTGAGAAGGCCTGGGGGCACAGGAGCTTTACAGTAAGTGTCTGCTAAATAATTAATAAACAATTTGATGAATGAACATGCCAATGAATAGATCAGGAAGAAAGTAGATGAAGATAAAAGTCCTATCCAAGGCTGCACTGGGGATAGAAACTATGCCTCTGGCCTCCCATACTTAATGTTTATCCCCTAATCTATCCCTTTTAATTCTTTCTGTTTTCTCTCTGTCCTCAGTAACAGAACAATGGAAAGATCTCTTATCTTACGTCCTCTCTGAGCTTTCATGTCCAAACCTGTAAAATGGGAATATATCTTTCTTAAAGTTATTGCCAGGACTAGATGGCTCAGAAAATGATATTCAAGTTAATTAACTTGAAGAGGTAACAGATTCCACTCCTCCAAGTTAAAGGAACAGGGGAGAAATATTACTTGCATATAAAGTAGGACTGTCCGATGTGCCTAATAAATTGTCTCATAAAACTTCTAAAGCATTTTGAGATCCACAGTATTATGGTAATTTAGCAAATGGGGAAACTGAGCCTTAGAAAGAGTAAACAACTTTTATCCAAGACCACAAAACTGAGTGAGTGGGGAGGACAAGTTGTGTCTGATTTAAAACCATGCTCTTTTCCCACATCCTGCCTGTCCCTCAGGTCCTGGATGTGGGCAGTTTACCCCTACAAACACAGTCCTCCACTGTCAAAGACTGGGTATTAGCTGTCAAGGCTGTGATTCTGACCCAATGTTCTGGCTCAGTCTTTGACTGTGAAGCAGACAACCTGTTTATATGACACAGGACTGGAGTAGCAGAGTCCTCAAGGCTGTTTGTCTGTTTCTACTTTTTCCTGTCATACCTTTGCTGAGTCAGTCACAGTCAAAATCCAAGGACAATTTGTACCAAGCTCACTGCAACTTACTGGGAAGGTGACTGAACTCCTGAAGGTCACTGGGTGAAAGTGTCAAAGCAGACAGACAGATGACCTCTCACCTCCTTGTAGGAAGGTTTATTGAGCAAAAGGTTTAAAGACATCCTTTTTAGGTCCCAAACAGACCTCACTCATAGTCCCATTTTCCAACCACAGATGTTTTCTTGTTCATAGCCAAGTTCCAAGGGGGACAGGACATCCTGGACTGAGGTCTAGAAGACATTGGGGAGAAATAAATGTGAATCTGACATGTTGTTTTCACCACTATAAAACTGGCTTCCTGGTCCATAACCCAACTCCATCTCAATATTACCCCTCCTACGGCAGAAACAATTAACTGTTGCACCAGAGATTCCTGTTTCCTTCTATCTTGTGGAACTGTCACTGGGAAGTGGTTGCTATGTCACTGACCATCTTTCCCAGCACCCCTTGCTTCTTGTGGGGGATCACGTGACCGCTTCACACCAAAGAGCAGAAGTGATAATTCACTCCTGGGTCAAGGCATGCCTTCTTTTATCCTCTCTTTTCTCATTTTAGGCAAGGAAGGAGAGAGAGCTTGAGACCTGACTCACCATGTAGAAGGCTTCCTGGCAACCAGAAACACCCACGTAAACAGTTTGGTAAGTGAAAAGTAAAGTTGTACTACTTTAAAGCCACTGAAATGTTCAGATCTATTTGTCAGAGCAACACTGCTCTCATTGTACACCTGAGTTGAGAGAGCAGCCCAAAGACTTATGGGACCCTAGTCTCTGGGTTCAATGCACTATGCCCAGAACTCCATCACTTAGTATTCTAGAACCCTCATATGATTCTGGCAGGTCATCACCATCCTCATCTGACACTGTAAAACCTTGGCTCAGGCATGTTAGATCATTGATTCCAGATCATAGCAGGGAAGCAGTAAATGTAGGATACAAAGACATTTCTTCTAAAGAACAAGGGCAAGAAGCTGTCCTCTCTACTGCCTCTAAGATAGTGCAATCCTGAAGGGTATTAGAAAGAGCATCTTCCCACAGTCATTCCTAAGCAAGAGTCCCTGATCTGAAGCTGTTTACCCATGGATCTCACAGAACTCCCATTCTGTTGTACTATAGGCTCTATCTTGTTTGTGTTCTGGAAAGTTGAGGACAGAAAGGAAGAATAACAGTTGATTCCTCATCCTTCCTAATATGATCAGCCATGGGAAAAAGGGAATCTCATAAGATTAGAAATATTCTTCCTAAACTCCATCTCCCAGGTCTGGGACATGCTCCCAGGAAAAAGCAACGAGTTTCTTTGAAGTGCCTTTGGAGTCACCCATGTAGTTTTTCAGTATGTCTTAAACTTGTTATTGGCAAGTCATGGTGAAATAAAGTTCCAGTAAATTTCCCAACTGGAGTGACTCAAAACTATTCAAATTAAAATTTGCAAAGGTAGCCAAGTTGAAAGGTATTAGGTAGTACTTAGATCCAGTTTACCAAGGACACCCTCAGAAGGCACTCGCCACACCGGCAACAGCATTATGAGTAAGTAGACTACATATGGAGCTTTGATTAAGAAGCCAGAGGTCTAGGACTTGTCTCCGTGGTTCCTATGTCTTGGCTATATGTCAAGGCACAATGATCACATGTCTCAGAGCTTCAGTTTACTCATTTTTTAAAATGGGGTGGGGAGGGGCAGGGAGGTACATCTCTATCTTCCTCCCCATGCTGTCAGGAGATCTCCCTTACTTTTTCACGCTCATGCTCACCATATCACGGCTTATGCCTGAATTGCTGTGGCAGACCTCTAGAGAAGGGAGACAGTGGCTCCAGAACCACCTTCTCCTGCTGCTTCCACATTCAACTCAGTGAGATTCCACTCTTGCTTAACCCATCAAGACTTTCTCTTCTCCCCAGGATAAAGTCTACACATTGTAGGCTGCCACTCAAAAGTAATCTGTGTTACAACCTGATCTTCATTTCTTTGGTGTACTTCATTATTTCAATCTTTCATCTTACTCTTGATCTCCATTGAGAATCTCCCCTTGCCTTGGGTGCATTCTTATCATTTAGTGCCTTTAACTCCTCCAATGTGCCATGCCTTACTCTGATCATTACAAGTTAAAAATACCTATCTGTCAAGGCTGATGCCATCAATATAATCACTTCTCAAAATCCATTCCTGATGTCCACAGCTAGAATTTTCACATCCCTCTTCTGATATTATGCACTGAGTCTTCTTGGGCTCTGATCCCATCGAAATGTGTTGATTCATTGATCCCATTTCTTATCTCCTCTCCCAGTTTCTTAAAAAAGAAACTATACTTCCTTCATCTATGGATTCTCTAGCATCTATTATTGGACCTGGTACAAAGTTGGTATTTGGCAAGTTTACAGAATTAATTCAAAACCATGTGCCAAGGATTCAGAAGTGGGTGTTGATAAGAGGGAGGGTTATATAGTAAGCCACATTTTAGGAACAAGTAAGCTCTTGCATAGAAGAGAAGATTACTTCCTTCTATTTTCACATCCCCTCTTGAGTCAGCAGTTGTCCTGAGCAGAGCTCCTCCAGTCTGGGACACAGGGATTCAGTCTCCCTCCATCCATCAGGAGGCTCTGCAATCTTGAATGCTTTGCTGGTAGCTGTGTGGATAAGGCTGAGAACTCATGGAAGCCTGCATAAGACATTTTATAGCCAGGCTGGAATTGGTCTCTGTCTTACTACTTGAAGTGTTGTCCATGGAATCAGCAGCACTGGTATCACCTGGGATATTATCAAAATGCAGGATCACGGGCCCCACCCTAGACCTACTGAATCAGAACTGGCATTTGAACAAGATCTCTGGGTACTGAGAATGCATATGACTCTGTGATGAACACTAGTAGACATCATTTTTGTTCACATGTCATGGGCAAGAACTCATCCCCAAGCCTCATCTTGACTACAAAGAAGGCTGGCAAATTGATGCTGCCATGGTACCTAAAAAGAGGAAGTGAGTTTTGCTAGCCATAGACTCTACCACAAATCAGCATTCAAAATGGAATGTGTACAGTTCCTCTTCCAGGCCCAACAAGTCACAAAAATCTATACCTCATCTACTTGTTCTCCCTTAGCTAGCATGGAGGGTCCATTCTGGCAGAATAGGGGACCAGCTATTCAAGGTGGTAGAATCCAGTGAAAGACAGGGACTTTGCTGTGAGGAGATGGAATCCAGGTGAAAAAGCACACTACACCATCCTTCAGCCAATGAAGTTGAAAGACAGTGTACAGTAACTTCCTGACTTACAAACATTCAACTTGCAGACTTTCAAAAGTACAGACAGACTTCACATTGCAAACATTAGTAGTTGCCAACAAATTACAGAAGTAGCTCACATGTCTGCCGGACACTGTCACTGATGTGCTGCTGTGTGCTCACTGGTACAGTACGACGGTGTGTCCAGGATGTCTGGAAGATAAAGAAAAAGCAGTGGTGATATAGAGGAGTCTGCTAGGAAGCACAAAGCAATAACCATGGAAACAAAGGTGAAAAAACTGAGAGATTGGGCCAAAGTGAAAAGAGGGAAGACTTTGGATTGTTTTTATAACATGAATTGTTCAACCACTGCCATAGTTCTAGAGAACAAGGACGAGATCATGGAAAATGTGAAGTCTGCTGTGCCAGTAAAGTCAACAATAATATCCAAAGTCCATGGTAAAGTGATAGAGGAGATGGAGAAACTTCTCAGTGCGTGGATGCAGGATCAGCATCAGTGTATATCTGTGTCAAAGGTGTGTAAGACTCACTTTGTCAGACTTATGAACAAATTGGACTTACCAACGTTCTTCCAGATCACAACTCATTCATAAGTTGGGGACTTCCTATACTCTGAGGAAAAGAGCTTGCCCCTGCTCCCATAAGAGTCATTTAGCCACTGCAGGGGCTCTGAGCAGCAACAGTGGCGAGCCAGACCAATATAGTTAACTTTCGGTGAAGTTCTGACCTCTGTTGATCTGTTTTCATTACTTCCATTGGTCATTATTCCTGTTTCTCATTAGTAGGAAATTATTTTCATTACTCTGTGACTATATACTTTTTCCAGAACACTAGGATTTGAGGTTCACATACTTTCAACTTTTCTTTATGATTGGTTAATTAACTAACACTAAGTGAGGTCATGGGGGATTGCTGGTGAAGGAAATTTTCTAAAAAATTATTTTCACATAAATGTGTAGACTATTTAATAAGAACACTTTGAGGCTTTTACAATATTTGTACTTGATAGTGTTTATTTGAGAAATACTGTTAAGCCAGCTCTGGTCTAAAGTTTTAAAGCATTTCATTAAAACAAAAAAGAAAAACATAAGATATTTCATAATGTGAACTAATTTCATTTTGCATGCACCAGACATGATCTGAAATTATCAACCTTGAAGAAATTAGAATTCTCCACCAGCACAGACCATCTTACTTTTATAGTAGAACATCCCTTCTCTAAATGTCATATTCTTGTTTTCAAACTACAGGGAAACAAATGATTTATAAACTCAACAGGAAAAAAGAATATATCCATAGAAAGTATGTACCATGGAAGCATTTCCAGTGCTGAGTATAAGTTGGCATTTCACTTCCATTCATATGATTTAATAGTAAGAGTTGATATGGTGTTACATAGTTCGCTCTGAGCTGAGAGGGTGAATGGGTGATATCCATAATATACCATCAGTCATGGTATAATTTCTGCATTGTCAAAGGGCCATGTGTCTTTTTTCTTCCTTTCGTGGTTTTTGTTTGTTTGTTTGTTTGTTTGGGTTTTTTGGTACTGGGGATTGAACTCAGGCCCTTGTGCTTGGAAGGCAGGCAGTGAAACCACTGAGCTAAATCCCCCAGCCCTCGTCCTTTCACTATTTGAGACGAGGCTAGTACTTATGAATTGTCCGTTTGATGGCTTCAGCAAGTGGGTTGATTTCTTCTAAATCTTTCTATCTTTCTTTCCAGAATTCTTTTTTTTTTTTTTTTTTTT